AGATTCAGGCCAAAATCAGAGTTTCTACACAACCCAGGGATACCTGGTCTCTGAAGAGCTAGAAGTGCATATAAGGTGAACCAACAGACCCTGAGCTGCACAAAATGTCTTCCCTAGGGAAGCTGCAGCAAAGCAGCTATTTAGCTCAGCAACACAGCTCAGGTACTGGTTCCCACAGGAGGTTTCCCCATTTTAGAAGTAAGCAAAGGACAAAAAATTAGTTTCAGCCTGGGCACAACAAAGCACCTCGGGGCCTGCCCAGGGACTCGGGGCTTGGAGCCAGGTACCAGACCCCCTGCCCACAACCAGACACACTGCCAGTGCCTTGGGGCCCCATCCAGGGGCCCAGGGCACAGAGCCAGGGAACAGACACCTGCCTACATCCAGGCACACCACCAGCACCAAGGAGCATGCCAAAACATCACCTTCATGTGGGTGGTCCACCACAGCCACCACAATAACCATGGCTGCTGTGAAAGTGGCTAGACATCACAACCACCATGCTGATGGTCCACCAGCCACTGGAGTGCATTGACACAAGGAGAGTCAGCAGCAGAGACCAAAGAAAAGAATAGGATGTCTCTCTCCATTGTGCCCATTCCAGAGTGACAGAAGAGGCATCTGCTCTATGATGATATTGGGGGACCTGAACACACCTTTCAGCATTGGACATATCATCTAGGCAATAAATCAACAGAGTAACCATAACTCTTTCAGAGGTAGAGAAGAAATCTAGAGTTATTGGTGGGGGGGGGAGTGAGAGGGGGTTGGAGAGAGATTAGATAGGGGGCATAAAGAATAAGTGTAATTTGTAACAATAAACATAGTGATAATATTGATTTGATCAACATGTCAACGTTAAACCCCCAAATATATATAATCAATTATGATTCAATAAAAAAAGAATAAAGAAAAAAAGAATAGAAAGATTTCAAAAAAACAACTTAATGTTAAATCTCAAAGGACTAGAAAAATAAGAATAACCTAATCCCAAAACTAGTAGATGGAAAGAAATAACTAAGATCATAGCAGAACTAAATGAAATAGAGGCAAAAAGAAAGTTACAAGAAATCAATGAAATGAAAAGTTGATTTTTTAACAGGATAAACAAAATAGGCAAGCCATTGACCAGACTAACAAAAAAAAAAAAAAAAAGAAAGAGAGAGAGAGAGAAGACACAAATAACAAAAATCAGAAATTAAAAAGGAAATTACAACTGATACCACAGGGGGAAAAAATGAATCACTAGAGACTACTATGAACAACTATACACCAACAAATATGAAAAGCTGGAGAAAATGGATAAATTTATGCATATATATAAATTACAAAGACTGAACCAAGAAGAAACACAAAACCTGAATAGACCAATAACAAGCAATGAGATTGAAGCAGTACTCAGCAGTCTCCCAACAAAGAAAAGCCCAAGACCAGATGGCTTTACTGCTGAATTCTGCCAGACCTTTAAAGAATAATTAATACCACTTCTCTTCAAACTATTCCAAAAAATTGAAACAAATGCAATTCTCCCAAAGTCATTCTAAAAGGCCAGCATTGCTCCAATACCAAAATCAGACATACACAACAACAAAAAAGAAAGCTACACACCAGTATCTTTGATGAACATAGACACAAAAATCCTCAATATGATATTGGAAAACAGAATACAAAAGCACATCAGGGGCCAGCCCGGTGGTGCACTGCTACAGTGCGCTGCTTGGGAGCACGGCGGCGCTCCCGCCGAGGGTTTGGATCCCACATACAGACCGGTTCCCACTCACTGGCTGAGCGAGGGGTGGGCGCAGCACCGAGGGTTGCGATCCCGTTGCCGGTCCCAGTCCGGTATGGGCGCGACACTGAGGGTTGCGGTCCGTTGCCGGACACGAAAAAAGACAAAAAGGAAAAAAAAAATCACATCAAAAAGATTATATACCATAAAAAAGTGGGATTCATCCCAGGGATGCAAGGGTGGCTCCACATATGCAAATCAATAAACAAGATATATCACATCAACAAAATCATGAACAAAAATTATATGATTATCTCAATAGATGTAGAAAAAGCATTTAACAAAAGTCAACATCCCTTCATAATAAAGACTCTCAGCAAATTAGGTATAGAAGGGAAGCATCTCAACACAATAAAAGCCATTTATGGCAAACCCACCACCAACATCATCCTGAATGTGGAAATACTGAAAGCTTTTCCATTAAGAACTGGAACAAGACAGGATGACCACTCTCACCACTCCTATTCAATACAGTATTAGAAGTCTTAGCCAGAGCAATCAGGCAAGAGAAAGAAACAACGGGCATCCAAATTGGAAAAGACAGTCAAATTGTCACTGTTCACAGATGACATGATCCTATATAAAGAAAAATCTATAGCATCTCCCCCCAAAAATACTTCTAGAATTCTTAATCAAATTCAGTAAAGTTATAGAACACAAAATCAACACACCATTCTTATACACCAGCAATGAACAAGCAGAAAAAGAAACCAGGAACGCATGCCCATTTACAACAGCAACCAAAAGAATAAAATACCTAGGAATAAATTTAACCAAAGAGATGATAGTTCTCTACAATGTGAACTACAAAACTCTGCTGAAAGATATTAAAGAGGGCACAAAAAGAAAGAAAAACATTCCATGTTCTTGGATTGTAAGAACTTACATTGTGAAAATATCCATAATACTCAAACCAGTCTACAAATTCAATGGAATTCCCATCAAAATACCAATGACATTCTTCACAGAAATAGAAAAAACAATCCTAACATTCATATGGAAGAAGAAAAGACCCAAAAAAGCCAAAACAATCCTGGGCAAAAAAATAAAGCTGGAGACATAACACTACCTGACTTCAAATTATACTACAAAGCTATTGAAAAGACCCAAAAAAGCCAAAACAATCCTGGGCAAAAAAATAAAGCTGGAGACATAACACTACCTGACTTCAAATTATACTACAAAGCTATTGTAACCAAAACAGCATGGCACTGATATAAAAATAGACATTCAGACCAGTGGAGCAGAATTGAGAACCTAGAAATCATCCCTCAGGCCTACAGCTATCTGATATTGGACAAAGGCAATAAAAATCTACATCAGGGAAAAGACTGCCTCTTCAACAAGTGGTGCTGGGAAAACTGGATATCCATATGCAAAAGAATGAAACTAGATATGCACCTCTCACCCTACGCTAAAATCAATTCAAAAGGGATCAAAGACTTAAGTATAAGACCTGAAACTGTAAAATTATTAAGGGAAAATATAGGTGAAACACTTCAGCAACTAGGTCTGGGCAAGAATTTATGAACATGAGCCCAAAAGCACAAGCAGCAAAAGAAAAAATTAAAATGGGACTATATCAAACTAAAACGCTTCTGCACAGCAAAGGAAACAATCAAGAGATTGAAAACAACAACCTATAGAGGGGGAGAAAATTTTTGCTTTCTATGCATCTGACAAGGGATTAATATCCAGAACAAACAAATAATCCAATTAAAAAATGGGCAAAGGAGCTGAATAGACATTTTTAAAAAGGGAGGCATACAAATGACCAACAGGTAGATGAAAAAATGCTCAACATCACTAGTCATCAGGGAAATGCAAATTAAAACTACATTGAGATACCACCTCACTCCAGTTAGACTGGCTATAATCAAAAAGATGGTGAATAACAAATGCTGCCAAGGGTGTGGAGTGAAGGGAATACTCCTCCACTGTTGGTGGGACTGTAAATTAGTACAACCACTATGGAAAACAGTATGGAACTTTCTCAGACAACTACAGATAGATCTTCCATATGATCCAGCAATCCAATTTCTGGGTATATACCCAGAAGAATGGAAATCATCATGTCAAAGGGATACCTGTACTCCCATGTTCACTGCAGCTCTGTCTATGATAACCAAGACATGGAACCAACATAAATGCCCATCAATGGATGATTGGATGAGGAAATTGTGGTATATATACACCATGGGATACTACTCTGCCATAAAAAAAGAATGAAATTCTCCCATTTGCAACAACATAGATGAGCCTGGAGAAACTTATTTTGAGTGAAATAAGCAAAGCACAGAGGGATAAATACCACATGTATTCACTTATGTGAGAGCTAAAAGAAAAAGAAGGAAGGAAAGAAAGACCACAGTGGTGCACTGGACGAACAGAGAGAACATTTTTCGGGCTACAAAGTGGGGTGGGTGGGAGAGGGGGAGCGTGAGGGAGGTTGGGTCTAATTGGGTGAGGGCACGGGGTACAAATGCTATTTGTGGTAATGGGTATGCTGCCGGCATGAATGTGGCCTTCACCTCTTGGGCCCAAGTGGTAACGATCAGCTTTGTATCTCATGAATATTCATAACCAATAAAAAAAGATTTTTTTTTTCTAAAAAAACTTTGTCTTCCTTCTCTCCTAATTTCTGGAACTGCCCAGATCCTTCCAACCATAAGAGTAAAGAAGACAAGCTACATATGTGAGTTGAGACAACTCTTGCCATAAACCTGAATTAGTCACACCATGAGCTCTGATTTCCTGAAACTGACAACCAATAACAGTGAGCCTTTATGCTCTGCCTAATACCTTGTTAAGTATTTTTACATGCATTATCCCATACAACCCCCACAACAGTCCTAGGATACAGGGACCATTGTCACCCCTTCTCACAGATGTGGAAACTCAGATATAAAGAGGCTGAGGAACCAAGGTCATATAGTCAGTAAGTAGAAAATCCATCAAAGTTCTTGCTCAGATGCATGATTAAGGTTTTTAATATTAAGGAGCAGTTTTTCTAGCCTACATGTGGCTATCCTAAGGGCATTAACAGGAGAACAGCAGTTTTGCACTGACCTACATGTTTTCATGTGTTGTCTTTCTCAATCCTCCCTATAAGTCTGAGACAGGTACTGTTCGGGTTGTTTTATAGGCTCTGGCTGGCTCATGCACCCAAACTTCCATGACTAGAACATTCTGTGCCTGAGGTCTCAAGTTCCTAAGGTCGCTTCCTAACCACAACCATATAAGTAAGCCTAGATCAGCCTAGCTGGCTCTCCTCTCGCCCTTCGGTCACAGATGTCATGGTCACAAGAGAGAGAACAGGATAAATTGGTTTGGCTGCCATCTTGGCTGAAGTTGCTAAGTCCAATCCTCTGGGAGCTGAGAGGTCAGAACATCCCCAGCTCCTTGCACTTTCACATTAAAATATTTCCTGGAATCCACACATGAAAATGTTAATAAGGATGAACTCTGAGGATTCCCGACCCAGGAAGACCACATCAGCATAACCAGCCAAAGATCACTAATGCTATTTGGTTGTGCATTTCCAACCCATTTGGATCCACACTTCCAGAACCAAAAGAGGTATCTCCAGGTTGAGCCCAGCTTACTATAGAAAAGATTTAAAATAGATGACTTCAGGGAACTGCTACTCCAAGGCAACTTTCATTTGTTGCTGATTTCATGGTGTTTGCAATCCCTAATTTTTCTGCTTTAATGTAGTTTGCTATCTCATGGCTTTCAGTCAGGCTAGGTTCTCAAATCAGCTGATTTTTTTCATACACTTCACCTGATCTCCAAGCAAGACTGGCAAATGTGTAGTAAAGCGGTTTGGAGAGAGATGTCTTCCAATGGTTAGGTTTTTTTCCATCAATTTCTTTTGAAGCCTAATGCTTTGGAAGCTGACTAAAGTAATTCCTTCTCTGAGCTGGGATGCTTCTGCCTCACACCCACAGGATGGTGTGACCCTAATACTTGGGAGGTTACTAAAGTAATTTCTTTTCTGAGCTGGGATGCTTCCGCCTCACACCCACAGGATGGTGTGACCCTATAGAGCCCATGAACTCAGCCTGATGGAGGAAATCTATCTTAAGCAATCATTTTCAAGTCACTACTTGAGAAAAAGAGATATTATATTTAAGCTAAAAATGGATGGACCTACAAAGCAGCAGTTAGTGATGGGTCCATGAAGGCCAACCCTATGCAAAGTATTCTCTAAAAATAAATTGACTTGCTGTGGAACGAACCTGTCACTTCTTTCCCAAACTCATTCGGAGAGGTAAGTACGATCTGTGATTTGCTTATTAGTCTTTCTTTCTCAAGGCAACACTAGAGTCTCCAATTTACCAGTGTGTTAGATTTAACTCTGTTTCTACTGTCACAGACTTTTATGAATAACGACTGGCATACTCATCTACTGAGAAAAACAGTCACTCAGGATATTATGGACCCAGGTCTGGTGATAAAATAAAATTTATTTTATTAAATTATTTTACTAGATATAAAGGTAATATATTCCCTTTAGAAAACTCAGCTCAGAAAATTTTTTACATAACACAAAAATTGCCCTTAATTCTATAATTCAGATAAGCATTATTAGTCTTTACTGTACTTTTTTCAGATACTTTTCTGTGGAATATGGCATTAAAGACAATTTAGATCATATTGTATAACCTCTTTTGTCTTTTGTTTTCCACTAATATTATATTGAAAGAAACTTTTTACATCATTAATTCTTCTTGTAAATATAATGTCCACTCGACTTTTCATAACTGTAATTTATTTAACTGCTCCTTTTTATGTAGACATTAGGATTATTTATATTTTCTCACTAACATTAAAAAATTGTGAAATACAATTTTTTTACATAATTTTTGTCCATATTTTTTATCTAGACTAGATTTCTGAGAACAGGGAGTACTGGACAAAGGGACATGACCAGTGACAAAGCCCCTATTATATAGAGTCAAACTTACATCCAGAATATTTTATATCAACACACTCACCAGCTCTGGATAATATGTATGTCACAAATCTTTGCCAATTTGCCAGTTAAAAGTATTTTGCTGTTTTTAAATTGCATATCTTTGGTCACTTATCAAATAGCGGCTTTTTTAGATGTCTAATGTCCTTTCTGAGAATTACCTTTCTATTAGTTTTGCCCTTATTTTAATCATGGTGTGAGTAAACATTTTAACTTGCTAAAAACTATTTCTATAGTTACAGTGGTCATACTAGTTGCAAATATTTTTCCAGTGTGTTCCATATCTTTATGTAGCTGAATCCATCAGTTTTGTCCTGTCTTATACTATTGCATTTTTGTTTAAAATGCCCTTCAGTACATATCTCCTGAAGATTAGATATATGTTGATGTCTTTGCTTTTCTGTTTTTGAATATATCTATGTTTTATTTGTAGTCTTTAATATATTCTACTCTTTTCTTCCCTTTTTTTCTTTTTTGAAAAAACAATTTGTTTGAGAAACATCCATCCAGTTACTGAAAAATCTCTTGTGAACCACACATAATATTCTTTTAAATATTCTTCAAAAATAATACCCTTTTGCAATTTGACCATACTTGCTTCTTATGATGGTTATCTGTGTTCAACAGTTTAATTTGTATATTTAAAATACAAAAACTCTTGAATTTATTCAAGGATAATATTTTCTATTGCCTGACATACCGATCTCTGCATTCAAAAATTTTCTTAATATAACTAGTTGTTTTTCACCTTTTGAGTTAAGTACTTAGTTCATTTATTTCCTCTTTTCATATTAGAGCAATCAAATATTTCAAGGTTAAGAATGATGCTATGTGGAGTTTTTTTTTTTTTTTTTCATTTTTGTTCTTTTATCAAGAATTTGGAGTGTGTGGAAAGCTATATGTCCTACCATTAGGAAACAAACTTTCACATGTGCAATAATAATATTCTTCAATTCCTCTACTTATTTATTTTTCCTGTTTTGTATATAAGAAAGTTTAGGTGCAGGAAGATTAGCATATTTACACATGTGGCTAATAATCAGTGAAAACAGAATTCAGGTATAGTCTATCCAACTCTGAAGAACACACTCCGTCCAAAAAATTATGGGGCTTTGGTTTCCTCATCCTAAAAGTATCCATTTTCTCAACAGCTCTAAAGAATTTTTATAGCCTCCCTTAAATTGTGTTTTGATTTGCAAAATGCCCCCTAAAATCTAAACATGACATAAGTTCTCCAAATAGTGAATTCTAAAGATTCAGATAAATTTGGCAAATGCTGCCTGCATCACCCTGCCTGTTTTTGCCTCTTCAGGACGTGCTTCTTCTGGAGGTGTATGATGCTATACTTGGGCAATTCTGTTTGGACGTAGCATAAGCTCACAAATCCGACTGCCAGGGTGGATCTTACCGCAGCCTATTCAAATTGAACTCACTTGATGTTTTATACTAACCCAGAAACAAGTTAAAATAACAAGAATAACAAACTCTGCATCACAGGCTCAGCATTACAGCCCCAGCAGCATGAGTGACTAGAGAAGAAGCATCAGAGAGTAAACTCTCATGAATTCAAGGCTCTGCTCCTCCTTTAGGTCCTCTTTTTATTCCTGACTGTTTTTCTATGGGAGAAACTATTGGGGCAGTGACTGGGAAAATAGCCATCCATGTACAATTATAGGAAAGGTGCGTGACATGTCAGCATCATAAAACCATGCTTGTGTAAATGAATCACTGTGTGTGTGTGTGTGTGTGTGTGTGTGTGTGTGAGAGAGAGAGAGATAGAAGAGGGCTATATTATGTGTTCATTATGTGACCAATAATATGGCCCAACTTTAAGTCTTGGGAGTATCTGCTTAGGGTTTCTGTCAGTGTTAAAACAATCCTGACAGAGATTATTCGCTTGACCAAAATGTATCTGCCACAATTACAGTCCCTGTGTTATTTGCAGAAAAGGCAATTATCCAAATGCCAAACTGGATTCATGGAGCGAGTGAACAACGTGACAGAATTCATTCTGCTTGGCCTGACTCAGAACCCAGATGTGCAGAAACTGCTGTTCAGTGTGTTTACAGTCATCTACTCTTTCACCCTGGTAGGCAACCTACTCATTGTAGTGACAATCACCTCAAGCCCAGCCCTGGGCTCCCCCATGTATTTTTTCCTATCTTTCTTGTCCTTCATAGATGGCTGTTGCTCTTCTACTGTGGCCCCCAAGATGATATTTGACCTACTAACTGAAAAGAAAACTATCTCCTTCAGTAGTTGCATGATTCAGCTCTTTGCAGGACATTTCTTTGGTGGAGTTGAGACCATCCTGCTCACAGTGATGGCCTATGACCGCTATGTGGCCATCTGCAAGCCCCTACACTACATGATCACAATGAACAGGCGGGTATGTGGCCTTCTGGTGGCTGTGGCCTGGGCTGGGGGCTTTCTTCATGCTCTGATTCAAATTCTTTTTATGGTCTGGTTGCCCTTCTGTGGTCCCAATGTCATTGACCATTTCATCTGTGACCTTCTCCCTCTGCTACAACTCTCCTGCACTGACACTCACATATTGGGACTCTTTGTTGCTGCCAACAGTGGACTGATGTGTATGCTCATTTTTTCTATTCTTATCATCTCCTACATCCTCATCCTTTGCTCACTAAAGACTCATAGCACGGAAGGACAGCGGAAAGCTCTCTCCACCTGTGCCTCCCATGTTACTGTAGTCATCCTATTCTTTGTGCCCTGCATATTTGTGTACCTTCGGCCCATGATCACCTTCCCCATTGACAAAGCAGTGGCTGTGTTTTACACTGTGGTGACACCCATGTTGAACCCTTTAATCTATACCCTCAGAAATGCAGAAGTGAAAAATGCCATGAGGAAGCTCTGCAGCCAAAAAATAATCTTCAGTAACAATTCCTGTGAATAGAGAAGATAAAAACAAAATCTATTCATATTTTAACAAGTGTGACTAATGGAAAGGATAGTGGTCCTAAAGTCAGAAAATGTGAGCTTAAGTAAATTTTGTTCTCCTTGTTTTCTGGAATTCTTAATGGTTCCTGATTCATTAAAAAAAAGAAAAAAACAATGTTTGAATAAATGATGACTAAGTCTCTTCCAATTAGACACTCGTTGGTATTTAAAAATTGTTGATCAAAGGGGCATTTCTAGTCAACATAAAAATGTCACAATATATGGAAAATCCATGAGTTTATATATTGTTCAGTAGAACAATTATCTGCAAAGCTTTAGGTACAGATTATATAACTAACAGGACAAGTAATTACAATATTTAAACAAAAATCCCTAATGGCTAAGTATTTTGTTGGAAGTGCATAGTTGCAATTCCAACTAATGAAATCAAGGTACAATTATTATTGTGAGAGATAGAGATCAACCAGAAATGCATGGGTTTTGAGGAATAAGAATCATTAAGCCAGGACTTATCCAAAAATTAATGCTGCTCTGTTGCAAAGCTCCAGGTGGCATCATTTACATTACAATCTGATTCTTCCCAGAATAAATTATTTTCTCTGCCTAAAGCCAAGGAGGGATATTTCATTGTTCCAGGTATGGCCATAGAATGAGCTTTACATGATTTCTCAGGTAGAAGATATTTCATGGAGCACTTTTTCTATAAAAATATCTTATATACCACTTCATCTCCAAAATAGCTTTTATTGAATAGATTTGTTCCTTAGCTAATAGGAACAAAAATAGGTGGCACAAAAGAGAGTTAATGACATCTGAATAGTCAAGGCAGAAATTCTGCACATTCAAATTTTAATAGAGAATTTAAACCAATTGCAGAACAATGAAATAGGCAGTAATTTGTGATGTACACACTGTGCAATTCTAAGAAAAAAGAAAGACATTAGGTAATGGACACAAAGAAAAATTATGATTTGTAATGATGAAAATGCTAATTACACTGATTTGGTTATCACATATTATACACAAATACTGATGACAACTCTGTGCCCCACAAATATATATATTCAATTATGTTTCAATCAAAAAATACTTTTTAAGAAAACTAGATGTAAAAATCTATATTGAGCCAATTCAGAAATCCTGCAAATCTTAGCAACTTCACTTCTACCTTCATAAGGACTGAATTAATATAAATGACTCCATAGTCGTGCCTATATATTATTAAGTATACATTATATACAGATTAATATTCAATAATTTAGTAAACAATTTATTTCAAATAAACTGCATATCCACATGCTGAAATATGAAATTAGGCACTTATCTTACAACATATACAAACGTCAACTCAAAATGGATTAAATACTTAAGTTAAAGACTTGAAACTAAAACTACTAGAAGAAAACATGGAAGCAAAGTTTCATGACATTGGGCTGGGCAATGACTTCTTAGATGTAACCCCAAAAGCACAGGCAACAAAAGCAAAAATAGACAAATGGGACTGCATCAGACTAAAAACTTCTGCAGAGCAAAGGAAACAATCAACAGAGTGAAGAGACAACCTACAGAATGGGAGAACATATTTGCAAACCATACATCTGATAAGGGGCTAATGTCCAGAATATATAAGGAATTCAAACAACTCAGTAGCAAATTGAAAAATGGGCAAAGCAAACTAAATAAACATTTCCCAAAAGCAGACACACAAATGACTAACAAGATATGAAAAAAAAAAAAAAAAATGGTCAACATCACTAACCATCACAGAAATGCAATATAAACCATAATAATATTTCACCTCACACCTGTTAGAATGGCTATTATCAAAAAGGCAAAAGACAACAAGTGTTGGCAAGAATGTGGAGGAAAGGGAACCCTGCACACTATTGGTGGGAATGTAATTGGTACAGCTATTATGGAAAGCAGTGTGGAAGCTCCTCAAAAAATAAAGGTAGAGGGCTGAGCCCATGGCGCACTTGGGAGAGTGCGGCGCTGGGAGTGCAGCAGTGCTCCCGCCATGGGTTCGGATCCTATATAGGGATGCCGCCGGTGGGCTCACTGGCTGAGCGTGGTGCGGCCGGTCTCAAAAAGGACAAAAAAAAAATTAATAAAAATAAAAAAAATAAATAAATAAAGGTAGAACTACCATATGATTCAGCAATCCCACTGCTAGGTATATATTCAAAAGAAAGGAGATCAGTATGTCAAAGACATATGTGCACCCCCATGTTTATTGCAACTTTATTCACAACAGACAAGATATGAAATCAACCCACATGTCTATCAACACATAAATGGATAAAAAAAATGTGACATATATTCACAATGGAATATGCAATATAAAAAGATGTAAATTGTGACATCAAAAATTCAAAATCTGCAGGATAACAAATAAAAATGCAGATTTTTCTTTTGCACTCTAACTTAAGCTGTTAATCAGATTAAAATAACCTGCTATAACTATGTTTTTCATAAGCCTCATGGTAACCACAAAGCAAAAACCCATAATACATCCAGAAAAAAATATTTAAAGTGCAAGAAATCAAAACATAATACTAGAGAAAAATCACTTAACCACAAAGAAATACAGTAAGACACAAAGAAAAGAAAGGATCTACAAAACAAGAAAGCAATTAACAAAATAGCAGTAGCAAGTCATAATCTGTCAATAATTACTTGAGGGTAAGTGTATTAAATTCTCCAAACAAAAGACACATAGTGGCTGAGTGGATAAAAAACAAGACCCAACTATATTCTGCCTAGGAGAGACTCACTTTACCTGCAAGGACACACACAGACTGAAAGCAAAGGGATGGAAAATGGTATCCCATGCAAATGGAAACCAAAAGAGAACAGGACTACTTAGATGAGTTTCCAGTGTAGAGATCTTTCACCTCCTTCATTAAATTTATCCCTAAGTATTTTATCTTTTTTGTAGCTATTGTAATCGATTTTCTTGATTTCTTTTTCAGATAGTCTGCATTTAGTGTATAGAAACACTACTGATTTTTGTATGTTGATTTTGTATCCTAAAACTTTACTGAATTCATTATTTCTGTGAGCTTTTTAGTAAAATACTTATGGTTTTTGATATATTATGTAATCTGTAAACAGGGACAATTTAACTTCTTCCTTTCCAATTTGGATGCCTTTTATTGTTTTCTCTTGCCTAATTGCTCTGGCTAGGTCTTCCAATACTACTTTCAATAGAAGTGTTGAGAGTGAGCGCCCTTCTCTTGTTCCTGATCTTAGATGAAAAGCTTTCCAGTTTTTTCACACTGTGTGTGATATTAGCTACAGGTTTGTCATATATGACCTTTATTGTGTTGAGGTAAATTCCTTCTATACTAATTTATTGAGAGGTTTATCATGAAAGGCTATTGAATTTTTTCTAATGCTTTTTCTACATCTATTGAAGAGATAATATGGTGTTAGTCCTTCATTCGTTAATGTATGAATCACATTTACTGGTTTGCATATGTTGAACCATCCTTGCATCCCTGGGATGAATCTCACTTGATCATAGTGAATGATCCTTTTAAAGTACTGCTGAATTCAGTTTGCTAATATTTGTTGAAGATTTTTCCATCTACCTTCATCAAGGATATTGGCTTATAATTTTCTTTTCTTGTAGTATTCTTGTCTGGCTTTGGTATCAGAGTAATGCTGGCCTCATAAAGTGAGTGTGGAAGTGTTCCCTCCTTTCCAATTTTTGGAAGAGTTTGAGAAGAATTGGTATTAGTTTTTTAAATGTTTGATAGAATTCAACCGTAAATCCACGAGTCCTGGGCTTTTTATTTTTTTATTTTTTATGCAAGGCTTATTATTACAGATTCAATCCCAACAAGGAATTAAATTCTTTTTTTTATTATACATACATGTGGGGTACAACATTGATTTACAGTAATTGTGTACAATGTGTGGTGGTTAGATCAGTATAGTTAGCTTTTCATCATTACAATATGCAATCATTCTTTGTGTCTGTTTACCAATTCCTCATTAGTCCCTCACTTTTCCCCCTGCCCTCCCCTTTTCACCAGACTGGCTATTATAAAAAATACAGAGAATAACAAATGCTGGTGAGGATGTGGAGAGAGATGAACCCTCCTGCACTGTTGGTGGGACTATAAATTAGTACAGCCATTATGGAGAACAGTATGGAGGCTCCTTAAACAACTACAGGAAGAACTTGCATATGATCCAGCAATCCCACTCCTGGGGATATATCCAGAGGATTGGAAAACATCAGGTCAAAGGGATGCCTGTTTTATTGCAGTTCTATTTACAATAGCTAGGCAATGGAACCAATTTAAATGTCCATCAATGGATGACTAGACAAGGAAATTGTGACATGTATACACAATGGAATACTACTCAGCCATAAAAAAGAATGAAATTCTACCATTTGCAACAACATGATGAGCCAGGAGAAAATTATCCTAAGTGAAACAACCCAGGTACAGAAAGAAAAATACCATGAAGAATTAAATTCTAACACATGTTGTTATGAATGAACCTTGAAGACATTATACAAAGTGAAATAAACCATACAAAGGCATTAATACTGTATGATTCCACTAATTGGAGGTACCTAGAGTAGCAAATTTATATGGCCAGAATGTAGAGCAGTGATTGCAAAGGGCTTGAAGAAAGGGGAAATAGACAGTAACTATTCAATGGGTAGGAAGTATCAGTTTGGGAAGATAAAAATTTCTGCATATGGATGATGGAGATGGTTGTACAGCAATATGAGTATATTTAATGCCAAAGAACCGTACACTTAAAAATGGATAAAATGGCAAATTTTATGGTATATCAGTGGACATAAAATATCCAAGCGATAGGAAGAATGGGATCTAGTGTTCTATAGTCATGTAAAGAGACTACATACAGTTAACAACAGAGTACTGTGCATCTGTGAATAACTAGTCAAAATGATGTTGAATGTTCCTAACACAATATGTGACAAAGGTTTGAGGTGATGGCTATACTAAGCATCTTGATGTGATCGTTGCACACAGTATGAATATACCCAAATATCATATTTTTATTTCATAATTATGTACAATTATCATAGGCCAACCAAGGAA